CGACGGGAGCGTCACGATTGAGGGCGTGGTGCCGCCCGAGGTGGCGCGAGGCCGCCGACATCCCTTCTCGGCTTCGAGCGCAGCCCTACCGCCGACCCAGGAGGTCTGCGAGCGGCCGTCGTCGGCCAAGGTGGTAAGGGCCCAACGAGGCTCGCTCGTGCCCTGCAGTCTGGCTCGTCTGCTGCGGCCGCAAGTACAGACGCGGCACGTGCGGCAGAGTCACCGATAAGGCTGCGATCCTTGTCGCGTGCGATTCCCCTTGCGTGCAAACGTCGAGCGAGCCGACGGCCAGCGAAGCCATCGCGCCAGTAGTCGGCTTTCGAGATTAGCTTCCGCGTCTTGGATGAGTCGCACCGGCTCAATGCCACTCATCAGCATCAGACATCACATCCACATTATCCTTCCTCCTCCCCCTCTCCCTCCACCCCCTCCTCCCCCTCCTCCTCCTCTTCCTCCTTTTCCTTCTCCCCCCCTCCCCCTCCTCCTCGTCCTCCTCCTCCTCCTCCTTCTCCCCCTCCTCCCCCTCCTCCCCCTCCTCCTCCTCATCATCATCTCCCACTCTCCTGCTTCTCCTGCTCCTCCTACTCCTCCTGCTCCCCTCCCCCGACCTCCGCCCCCTTCCTCTCCCATCCTCCGGGCGTGCCCGCGCGAGCGCCGGGCAAGGACGACTACGCCGGGGCCCCGGCTTTTCTCTCGGGCCGCCCGCGGCGAAGGTCCCTGTTGAGAGGGTTGTTGAAAATTGTGTTTGGCCTTCGAAGGCCTCTGGACGCTTAGGACCCCAGAAACCAGGATTCAGGAAACCAGGATTTTGCAAGATCCAGCCAGTTGAAGCGAAGAATGGAGACATTTTTTTGGCCCAGTTGGCCCAGGTCTGCATTTTTCTCGAGCGCGAGCGCGCCAAGGTCCTGGTTTGTCAAAGTCCTCCATTACCGGGCCCTGAGACCTGCTGAGTCCGATGTGTGGCCGAGGGGACTCCAGATTAAGCCCGCTCGGCTGCCGAGCGTGCGAGATTTTCGCTGCCGCGCTTGAAGTGAAGCCACGGGGAGAGTCCGAAGGAGAGAGACGAGAAAAAAAAGCATCCTGTGCAAAAGGCAGGAGGCTAAGAAGCAACGAGAGGAGGGAAGGGTGCTTGATACTGCCTTTCGCGTGAACCAGGTCTGCAGCCTGATCAATTCCACGGGTCGTTTGCACTTGATCAGGCCCCGTTGTTGCAAGTAAGGGCTCAGGGCATCGGAGGCCAACAAGCTTCAGATGTCGGCCAAAGAACAGCAGCGGCGCGGCTGAAGTTTGCGCATAGGTCCGTCCTTTCTCGGGAGCCGTCTCGAGAGCCGCTCCCAGGCATGGCTTGGCATGCAGGTCCAGCCGCCCTTGAAGCGACTCCCGTGTTTCTCTCTGGCGCCCCAGCGTAGGCCTTAGGCTGCGGGCACGATGCGCCTTCGCCACCGCGGTGCGACTAAGAAGGTATCTCTCCAGCAGAAGTCAAATATTCTCCCTCCCACCGCCTGGGGGATCGATCTTCGGCTACCTCGGCTCGTGGTGGATATGGACATATTCGGACCCTGCGGTCGCAAAGTATGTATAAGTATGTGTATAGATGGATATGTTCGCCAGCATGGACCTCAAACAGTGTGTGTGTGTGTCCAGCAATGCAATCTATGTGGGGCAATATTTGTGGTGCAATCCGCGTGGTACAATATATGCGGCGCAGTCTGTGTGGTTCAACCTATGTGGTGCGATGCATGCTGTGCCATCTATGTTGTGCAATCTATGTCGTGCGATCTATGTTGTGCAGTTCGTGTGGTGTACTATGTCGGGCAAGCTAGGCTGAGCAATGCACGTGGTGCAATATATGTGGTGCAGTACGTTTGGTACGATCTAGGTGGTATATGGTGTACAATGTACGTGTGCACATATAAACATATATATATACACATGAATATATACATATATATATATACATATATATGGTGTAAATTATGTGGTGAAATATCAGTTGGGCAATATGTGTGGTGCATGTCATGTTGTACAATCTACGTGGTCCAATTTGTGCGCTGCAAAATATGTGATGCAATCTATGTGTTGCAATTGACTACCCTGCACCGCGCTTGAACACCTCGACTGCTCGTGCAAACAGCCCACCCTCCCACCCGCACTTTGTTTGGCATAACTCATGATGCGGGGGACGGCGGCGCCACCGATGACGACAGCGATGATCACATCCTCACTGCCGGTGCTCGTCGCCGTGAGTCGAGGATGCACGTGAGCATATCGACGATATCCGGACGTGCGCGATGACAAGGTGACGTCAGCAAAGTCTGCGACAATGACGAAGATTGCACTAGCGACGACGATGCTCAAGAGGGCGTCGGAACGAATGATAACGGCGCCAATGGTGGCAAATACGTCATCTGTCGATGAGGCAGGTGATCGCGGTGATGCTGGCAACCGCGCGCGCGGAAGTTCAACTTATCCGTCAGACTGATCATGCGCGCGCGGCGGTGCGCGCGCGTGGCCCGCGTGGTTTTCGTTGCAAGGGGTTCGCGCGCTTGGCGCATGGCAAGAGCAGCGCGGGCGCACCGCGCGGTGGCATGAAACCGCTGGGTTCGGCAGAATTCATCAGAACCCGATGGCTTTGCATGATTTTTGCATGAGCGCGCGGACAGGAAATTTGCACAAATGTTGTTGCGGAGCCCTTGGGTTTTTATGTTTTTAATGTTGACATGCGTGCAACCGCATTGTGTTAGGTACGATTTTGGCATGGGCGCGCGCGTGATGACTCGGTGGTATCTTTTGCAAGGGATTCTTGAACTTATATGATTGTTGGTAAACGAGCGCGCACATCAGATCTGTCGCAGAGGATGGCGGGGAGGGGGTAATACCGGTTTGGCTGGGATAGTCTGAATTCACGTTCAGGGTGGACGATGAGGCACAACCATATCTTAATTACAATACGGAAAGGGGGGAGTTTTTGGAAGAAAGGAGAGTATCTGCGGTGCAATCTATATGGCGCGATTAATTTCTGTTCGCAGTGAGTTGTCCACGCCGCTGTTCGCGCAAACATCCCACCCATCCACCCGCAACTTTGTGTGCAAACTTCATGCGGCGGCGATTGCGATGAGCGTTCGGCGCTGTTTGGCGCATCTCCGCGGCCCCGCCAGCCCGCGCGCGCGCGAGCGCGCAGGAGCCAGGTAGTTTGGCGCGACCGACGCGGCCGCGGCGGCGCTGACCGCTCGGCACATCCAGGCGGGCACTTAAGTGCGAGTCGGCGATTTGGGCGAGTGCGGTATCATGGCAACGTCGGCAATTGTAGATACGATTACGATGATCGTAGCGATGCTGGCGACGATGCTGACAGCGACCGCGGCACGGCCAGTGACGGCGCCGATGCCGATCACGCCGACGACGATGACGGCGTCTTTCGCGTCGGTGATGATTTTGAATTCGAAATGCGCCCGCGGCAGACACGCGAGAGTGGCTCGCGTGGTACTATTTGACGCGGACCGTGCCACCCCAACACGCGCGCAAGGGCGTTCAAACGATTTCGACGTTCACGCGCGCGAAGCCCGTTTGGTAGCATTCTCTGCACATGTTGAACAACGCGCGGTTTTCTTCAGATTCCGCAAGAGCGCGCGCGTTCGCTTTTGTTGAGCATCCGTGTTGCGAAACCCTGTGCCTCTGCATGTTGTTTGGACATTCGATTGTGCAGTTTATCCGAAACCAAAGGTTTTGAAAGATTCCAGCATGCGCGCGCGACGACGCGCGCACGTGCACTTCGTCTTGTTCGTTGCAGAAGATTCTCGCGACGGCACGCGCGCAAGGGCGTTCGAACGATTTCGACATGCGCGCGCGAAACCCGTGTGGTAGTATCTCTTTATTGCTTAAGGCAAACAAGAAAAGAATTCGCAATAACGTGCGCGCGTTTGTTTTGAGAGTCCGCGTTGCGAAGCCATGTGTTCTTGTATATGTGGTTCGGGCACTCGATTTGGACACCTTTCCGAAACCGAGGTATTTTGACAAATTTCGGCTTGCGCGCGCAACGACGCGCGGTGCGCACTTCGTCCCATTTGTTGCAAGGGAATTTTGAAAACTTATGATTTTGGATAAACGAGTGCGCGCGCATAGCTGTTTTGCAGAGGATGGCGCGGGGGGGCGATACCGGCCTGGCTGGGATAATCTGAGTTCACAGGTCGGATGGACATTGGGTCAGTCTCCTATATGTTTTGCATCGATTCCCGGGGGTTCTTCAACCTTGCGGGGGGTGGTGGTATAATTTTTCGTTTAAGATAGAAGAGTATATTCGAGGCGGCGACGGGGCGGCGACGGCGACTACATAGCTGCCAGACTGGCCGTCAGGCCCAGACGACGGGCGGCGACGGGGCGGCGACGGCGACTACAAACGTAGCCGCCAGACCGCCGCCAGACTCAGTTCCGCAGAAAACAAGTAAGAGCCCAGAAGTGCAAACACTGTTTGGAAAAATACCGATCTCTCTGGACACTTGGTGGGCTGGTTATCTCAGGCAGTGCGATTCTGAGGCAAGTCGTGCAGCCCTGATTGTTTTTCTCGTTCCGGGCGCGTCCAAGGCGTGGGCGAAGCCTGGGGGCGTGTGGATGTCATGTCCACTGCCATGAAATCTCCCAGATATCATGGCCAGATCGGCGTAGGTCGGGCATGTCCTGCAGGCGGTTCTTTGAAGAAACATACAACATAGTCAAACTTTAATGAAACAGTAGCTGAAAGAGCACGACAACTCATCACCGGATTATGATTGCTACTGTTCTTGAATATTTCTCTTGTAGACGGACATGCCCGTCAGCAAATTATCTGGCCCGCCCCTTCTTCCTGGCCCCCCTCGTCGGGGCACCCGCCGTCTGGTCCGGGGGCGCGAAGACGGCTCGCACCAGACGCCGAGATGGAGGAAGAGCGCTGAGACTGACAGAATCAGCTCGCCGGTGATCTGGCGAGGAGGCAGGGTGGGGAGGAAGAGAGGGTGTGCGCTAAGGATGCTGATGGGGCGCATCCCCGGCCATCGGAGATGGAGACCCTGATGGCGGCTGCAGCGGATTGCGCTCTGCAGGACTCGCCAGCTCCCCTTACTTAGCGATGCTGAGTGTGATTACGAAAGTTTCAATGGTGTCACGGGGGGCTCCCCCATTAGAAAAACGTGTTCGTTCCCCGTGTGTATGCTTATCCCTCATTATCCTCCTCGCCTCTTTTCCACTTACGTCGAAGCAGGGAAGGCTCATGGTGCAGTTACTAAGCTAGGCAACCCTGCAGACCAGAACATATCATGCTTCGAGGGGGCGTGTTGTGCCCAAGCGTTGGCGCAGGCTATGGCGCAGCCTTGGGAGCTCATGGCTTAGCCTGCACAGTGGGCAACACCGCCAGTTCACTCAGATGTGGGGGCGCGTGGACTCGTCCAAACGTGGACGCGGACCAATCGTAGACGCGTCGCGGAGCTATGCCGTTCGGTGCAGTGTCGTGTGCGTGGTGCCGTGACGTGTCGTGCTGCGCCGTGTCGCGCCGTGTGATTGCAGGTGTTGTTTAGGGTGTCTTGGCGGAGTGACGTTTACTTTTCTGCTTCCCACCGCCTCTCCCTCCCCCGCCGTTCTTCCTCAGCCGTCCTGGTCCTCATCATTCCTCCGCCGCCGCTTCCTGCTCTGACTCCCGTTTGCTCCACCTTCTTGGTTCCCCTCCCTCCTCCTCCTCCTCCTCCCCCTCCGCCTCCTCCTCCGCCTCCTCCTCCTTGCCGTCTTCCGCAGTCTCGTGGCAAGGCGGACCAGGCGAAGCAGCCTGATGATACATGGGGAGGCCGAGGGGGATGCGTAGGAAATGTATAGTGGCAGATATGCCGCTGCAGGGATTGCGCTATATACACACGGGCCCAGGAAGGGGCGACTTCTGGCTTATAGGGCCGGTTGTTGCCTTCAGTGCGTCCACTCCGCCTGTGTAGTAGAACTTGTAGCATCAGAACTAGGCCTCCACTTTTTGATCAATGTGTGCAGGCAGGGTGGCGGGTAGTAGCAGTGGGTGGGTGGCAGCACCTTTGCCCGAGATCAGAAGAAGAAGGAGAAGAAGAAGAAGAAGGGTCCTGTAGATGATGAGAAGATAGGCGCCAGGATTTGTTACAGAACCCAAGGAGCCCTGGAAACCTGGCCCCTGTCGGATAGCGTGTCCTGGGGTTCTCGCGTTTTGGGAATCTGTTCAGGGGTTCCTCTAGCGTCTGGGGTATTCCTTATGTCGGCCCCTATTTGAAGTGTTCCCGGTTGCTGCTCATCCGTTGTCCCAGCACCGTAGTAATATTGCCGGCGTCATTTGGGTTTTCTTCGCGTGTGAAGGTAGGTCGGGCCTTTCCCGTACAGCGGCTGGCAGGACGGTCGAGAGCGCGGGGCCGCACAGGATCGTTGCTTACACGAGCCAGTGCGTGTCGCCTGTTCCGGGACCGCCCACTGGCCATCCTGTGCGCAGCGAGTCGGCATGACCGTGGCGGCAGGCCGAGTGCCGTTCCGCCAGAGCTGCAGACTGGAGCTGCCGCCCGCCACCGTGCTGGCACAGCGCCGGTCGCCCAGCCCCACCCCACCCTGCACGGGGAGGCGCCCCGCCGGCGTGTGCCCTCGGGGGCATGAAGTGACTCGCGCCTCGCGCTTCGCGGTTCGGCTCCGAGTCCTCCTCATCCTCCTGATCCTCCCCCGGGGTGGGGGCGGCGCGAGAGCGCGAAGCTATTCGAGCGTTTTGCGCGCTTTTCGCGCAGCGCGAAGCGCGAAGTGAGGTGCCCTCGATGTGGGGCGCCCTCGGGCGTGGTCTCGCCCTCGAGGGTCGATGACGTTTCTTGTTGCGGAGGACGATCCATGGAGAGGAAGCATGTTGTCAAATGATTCCCAGATGTCTAAGACATGGCTTAAACATGCTTAAAACATGCTTTAAACATGTTTAGAACATTTTTCCTACATTTGGAACACACTTGAAATTCAATGATAGGACTGTTAGGGTGTCCATTGTCGTTGCATCCACAAGTCTCTTGGGAGCGCGGCGGGATCCGAAAACGAGGGCGGCCCTCCGCCGGCGTAGGCCGGCCAGCAGGCCAACGGAAGCCGGCGGAGGTGGCTTCGCCGAGAGGTCCTCCAGGCAGTCTCACCGTTGTTGCCGGCAGGACTTTCGGGTATAGCCAGGGCTCAAGCAGTGGAGAGGCGTCCTGGCCCGCCTAAAGGCCTACCAAAGAATGTTCTAAGAACCTCTTGTGGCTTCCGCGAAATGTTCTCAGAACATGTCTGGCTGGGATTGTCTTGGTTCAACACATCGGGTTATGTTCTAAGAACATGGTTTTAGTTCTTAGAACATTTCTGGGTTCTAAGAACATTTCGTGGTAGGACTATAGGAATGCCGGGACGGTCGGTCCCTGCTCAATTGTTGCCGGCAGGACTTTCGGATATAGCCAGGGCGCCTTGGTTCAGGGGAAACAGTCAGCAATTGGGCCCCGAAGCCCAAGGCACTGACCAGAAGCAGCAATGCAGGTCTGCCGCAGCTGGGGTGTTTTTCGTGTGGCGGCAGTTCCAGCCCCGGGTACACGTCACCTAGCCGCGTCCCACTAAAGCCAGTCCCGCCAACGCCCGAGGCTGTTACACCTAGGAGGTTTTCAGTTTTGCACCCCCCCCTCTGTTTCTCGCGGCGGGGAATCAACTCCGCCTATCCTCCTCCTGCTTCTTTTCCTCCTCTCCTTCTCCTCTTCCTCCTGTTGCTGTCGTTGTCGTTGTTCCGCGGCGGGTGCCGCGGAGAAACAGTCATCCTCCACTACTGGTGGGGCCCCAGTCCGTCGACAAGGGCGTCGAAAGGATAAGCAGTTTCCATCTCTGGGGCGGGGAGGTTCTAAATCAGGAGGGAAAGAAAAAAACACACAGACACAATTAATCGTCGATTCCCGAGAAAATATGGGAAAATATGGGAGGTGGGGGGGAAGACAAAAACCCATACAATATGGGAAAATATGGGGAATAGTTTTATTTGTGTGTATTTATTTGTGTGTCCCAGGGCCCCTTCACTAAAGACCGACCTCGATAAGCAGCAAGACTTGGTCTAGCAGTGCGGCCGTGTGCAGTACGAGTACGCGCAGCAGTACGGGTGCCACCACCACGACGGGGGCAACAGCGCCGCGGCCACACGGAGCACACCAGCACGATTCGGACTATGCTTGGGTGCGGAGACTTTGAACCACGTGGGAGGGGCGTGGAGGGAAGGATCACCTATACTCAGAGACCCGAATCATCAGGGGTAACTCGGGTCAGGGCTAACTCGGGTTCGTTTTTCGGGAATCCGAACCCGAGTTGCCCCGGGCCCGAGGTACCCCGGATAACTCGGGCGTCCAGAGCCCCAAATCATCAGGGATAATTCGGGTCAGGGCTAACTCGGGTTCGTTTCTCGGGAATCCAAACCCGAGTTACCCCGGGCCCGAGTTACCCCGGATAACTCGGGCGCCCAATATACCCAAATCCCCACAGCCCCTGGCGCGGTACCTGCGACGCCAGGGGGCGGGCGGCTCGTCCACCCACCTCCCCACCATGAGGTGCGAAGTCCCTGTGGACGGGACGCGGGGGGCACCGGAGGGCACCGTGAGCCGTTTCAACTCCACACGTGGGCACCACAGGCCTATCGCAACCAACGGATGTACACCATACACCATAGCAAGTTTCAGCTTTTCAGCTTGATACTTCGACGTCTCTCAAGGGTTTCCAGGATCTGCCATAAAGGCTAGTTCTTGAATTCTCGCAGTCTCCATGGTCTCGGAGTGTAGTATGTACTCGTAGCGGATGCGTAGCGGCTTAGGTGCGAGGGTGGTGGATCAACACTAGTTCTCGTGGGATGGCGGGGAGACGCATGGTCGGAGGACGTCTCCTCTGCACATGTGGAGGCATCGCCTCAGTCGGGGAGGTGGACTCGTTCGTAATGTTGACAAAGACGTCTCGTGAACAGCGGCACGGGTACTTGTTCACTATCAGCGCTTGGAACGTGGCCATTGACGCCGATGTTTTCTTAGGGCGCTTGGGGACATTCAAGAAGCACCCACTGCTCAGCCCGAGTTTCAGTTCGACCCATGTTTCCAACGAGGCGAAGAAGGGTCAGCTGGATACTATGGCAACCTTGACCTCGCGACAGGTTGAAGAACTCTTTCGTGTGTACGACGCTGGCTTGGGACAGCTTAGAGGACAGAGGAGGGGTTGACCATTCACCGAGCACTTCAGACACGGACGAAAAGGGGACCTTCCGTTCTCGCTTGCGGCCACGTTCGATATCCTTCTCTTCTCCTCCGCCTTCCTCCCTTCCTTCTCTTCCTCCTCCTGTCCCCCCTTCCTCCACATTCTCCCTTCCTCATCCATATCCCCTCCCTTCCTCACCCCCTTCCTCGACTTTTCTTTTCTTCCTCCTCACCCTCCCTCTTCTTCCTCATCCCAGTTCCTCCGTCCCACCCCTTCCAACTTTCGTCCACCTCCCTAAGCCATTTTCCTTCTCACCCTTCCTCATCCTCCGCCCTGCTGTCTCCACCCTTCTCCTTTCCTTGTTCTCGTTTTTGCGTCGATCGGACTCCAATCCACATTGCAGCGTCAATGTCTTCCTCGTGCCCCCCTCCCTGCCCCTGTCGGTCGGTCCGATCGGTTCGCGCTCTCGGCCCGCCCTGTCGGGATCACCCCCTCGTCGCGACCCTCGCTCCTCCTGACCCTAGCAAGAGGAGGGGCAACAGGAGGAGGAGGAGGAGGAGGAGGAGGAGGGAGGCAGGAGGGAGGCAGGAGGGAGGGCTAGTTTACTCTTCCTCGCCATCTCAGCTCGAGCTCAAGCTCAAGGCCGAGACAGGGCGCCACACCCTCCGGAGCCGAGGCCGTGATGCTGGCACGCTCGCGGTCGCTCCAGGCGGTCCTCGCGCGCTCGCGGCCGCGCCGATCGGGAGGCGGCTTCGGCTCCCCCCGCGACCACGAGCCTCTGTGGATCGAGAACTGGAACAAGAACACCCGCCAGGGCAAGGATGCCCTTGACTGGTTCTTCCGCGCCTTCAACGCCACGG